GCTGAAACTGCTGCGATTCATTGCTTGTGTCCATATTGAATGTGGGAGATTGCGCACGTGCACAAAGCGCTCACACACGCACACGGACATACCTGTATTGACATACAGGCAGGCAGGCAGGCACGCAGGCAGGCAGGCAGGCAGGCAGGCAGGCAGGCACACGTGCATGCATGCATGCATGCATACATACATATAGTTGGTTAGGTAGTTAGTTGGTTGGTTAGTTGGTTAGCTACTTACTTACTTACTTACTTACTTGCTTGCTTGCTTGCTTACTTACTTACTTAGACTTAGATACACAGATGCATGAACAATTGTGTAGGAGCATACATCTGCAGTGCACACAGTGTCCACGGGTGTATTAGTTCATGTAATAATATTGCATATCGTACAGCGACACTTGACGACCCTCTGGCTGGAGTAAGTCAAGAACGACAACTCGCCGAGGGAGCTGTGCTGCCGTGGCCCTCCATGGTCTCTTTGCAGCACCAATCGTCTCCGTCAGGGCCCCAGACCTGAGCACAGAAGAGAGCAGAGATACCAAGCTTCACCTTGGCCCCGGCTCGCCTTGATCGTGTCGTCGTAAGAGCACGAGAAGAGCACCTCCTGTTGAGGATGCCATCTCACGGCCTTGACGTCCTGTCCAGGGCATATCATCACTGGCTCCAGTATGGCAGTGCACGGCTCGCTTCAAGCGGGTGCGTCGCCTGGGTGTGGGACTGAAGCAGCGCCACGCATTCGTACTCATCCGTCTCCTCCGAGTCATACACCCAGACCTGGCACAGCTCAGGACTTCAGCTTAACACAAGCGTCTTGTTCAAGCCAACATAGGCCAGGTCTGCAGAGCGATCACCTGGAGCTAGACGAACCAACACCGCTGAAGCCGTGTCAATTGTGGCCCGAATTTTCCTCTGAGGTTGCGGCGGCTGCAAGAAGCAAACAAATTGCCTGAGGGACTGAAAGCCACGGACCTGAGTCGGAAGCACGGAGCTTGCTGACAGAATCATGATCGTCCGAATCGAGACTGGAGTAGTCACAAGATCTGATTTGAAAGGTATTCGCAAGTTGTTGGGGGCGGGGGGCACTTCAGAAGCAGCATGCAACACTTATGATAAGCAGCTGCTCGCCTCCGGAAAAAACTACTTGCTCAATGGATCCTTCTTTCAAGCGCAGCCATATGCAGCCATGGCCTTCCATTCCCTGCGCAGCCTGAGTCCACAGCTTGACTTCGTTTTCATGGCCGCTCAGTACGGTCATGCAGTCAAACTCAATTCTTCCTGACAATGGCAAGTTCAAGGCAGCAAACATTGCCAGTCGGAAGCCCCGCGGTGCAAGATTGGATACTGGACTGTGGCAACAGAAGATCTCCCTACACTGCAGCGAGAACATGGAAAGACAATGTTTCAGAGAAGACGTCGAGCGCCTCGAGTGTCGGTCCCTGGAATAACTCTCCAGACCGAAATGCTGGCCTCGTGCCGGGAGTCATAGAATCTGCCGATCCCGGCTGACAGACACCAAGGCTTGGACATCAAACGAAGCTGCTGCTAGAAGCTTGCCGCATGGGCTCCACTGCAGCCAGAGTGCTCTATCAACATGCTTTGGTAAGGTATCGCGATGCACCGTCACATGTGTTTGCAAAGTCATCCCTGATTGATCTGCGCACCGCAAGAGAACGCAGCGTTCGAGAGTGGCGCTCGGAGACGTCAATCTCCTGAGAGAGGGCCCAAGATTCCTCGGCTGCGTGTGTCCCGCAGGATGACAAACCAAACTACAAGAGTCTACAGGGTCTGGGTTTCTGCGCAGAATCAGTAGTGCATGCACAGGTCTTGATGTCTGTGTGCTTGTTTGCAGCAGCCGGCTGCAGTGTTTCGGACGACTGTTCATGGTCTGCAAGATGCAAGGGTTTGCAGGGCTGAGCTTCTGGCCTCGTGGCCGGGGTCTCTGGTGCCACATGTCCAGATGCGAATGGTCAGATCCGATCCTGAGCATCCGTGATCTTGACGTGCTGCAGAGAGCACCGAAGCACTGCACAACCAGCAACAGGCCTGACGAGGCAAACATCAGCCTTGGACCAGTAAGAGAAAAGTAGGCTGGGAATTACAGACTGCAGCACCATGTAGCACCGTAGCATTTGCTCGAAGTGACTTGACATCCTTCTTTGAGCCACCGGCTTAGGCGAACTGGGTCTCCATGCCACGTACCATGCGCGCTCGTCATGACCCCTGCGACGGGCCAGGCCAAGGCAATTATATGTGCCATTATGCTTCACGCTGGCATGAGAACGCTCTCAGGTGGGCCGGTCGAGACTTGCGAATTAGCAACTCCATCGGCATCCTGCCTAAGAGCACACACCTTCCGCAAGGACGGCGCCGCCATCGCGCCGCAATTGCACGTGATGGCAGCGTGCTAGATTACTGAGGACTGTCTTGCACATATCGGCTGTGTAGACCTTTGTCCCACGATGGACCACCTGGCTTCAATTCTTTCATTACAGCTGTCAGCTCAAAAACGACCCTTTGCTGAACTGGCGACATGTCCTGCGGCAATCCGGATACAGCTTGCTCCGAGCCAAAAACCCAGCGACGATCTGCTGCATGTGCATTACGCAGTGCGAGGAGACCTTTCGCCCAGACTCTCACCTGCATTTACCGACCAACCGCGTGGATAACCGACTGTATTCGGTTGCATCAGGCATCTCAGCATACCAAATTGTGTTTTGTTCATGTAGGCTGTCCAACTTGTTCGGATGCGTTGTTATTAAAACTAAGACTGAGACTGCCCTGAACGAGGGCAACGAGGGTGGCAAAGCTCACTCAAGAACCAACTCTGAATCGTTTGTTTACCCTCCTACAAACTCGTCTAGGCTGGTCCTTGCAGTGAATATGAAACAGTCTCAGGCATTGCTGCTATCTTCAGTTGTGCAGATGTACGCTGCGGCTGTAATCCGAATGATAGCGGATCTGCCGTCTGCTGTACTGACACTTTGAGGGAGGGGGGGGGAGGGGGTGCTCAAGGTGGAGGGGAGGCGGGGGCGGTTTTCCTCCCTCCGCCAGAAGGAGGCGGAGGGGCCTGCTGCCTCTTAAATCATCTTAGATCCCTGAGATCTACCCCGAAAGCTAGCTTCAGTGACCTCCTGCTGCGTGCGGTGGAGCCACCCTCACACCAACAGAGACAGTTAACCACCTTCCGGTACGGGAAACTCGCGCGACTGAGCCTCGAAACTAACGAAGCGCGGCATCCGAGTTCAGTTTCACGACCCCTGCTGGAAGAGTCGCCGGGCCCGTGTAATCCCAAGAGACGAAGATTGGATGTGCATCCTGCTTTCCGCGTGCCACTTCTGTACGTGAACCGTTGTCGTTGCAGCCGCTCATGGCCAGTGTCGACTCTGAACCGTCTTTTTCGACTTCAATGGCGACGAAACCAACGGCGCTCGGTGAACATTCGATACAAGTAACTGGGTTGCTCTAACTTAACACCTTCTCATACAGGGCTGCAGCCATTTTTTCTCACTGTTGGCATCTCCAGGCGTGGCCATCTCCAGGTCCCTCCGACGCATGCACATCCAGCAGTTGGTTTTCTGCAGCAGCTGCCCCAGGCCTTTCGCCTCACCGTAGAAGTGATAAGCTAACGACCACGGACATACGTAGCTGTGTGTGTATGGCACAGACAGACCGACAGACGGACGGACGGACAGACAGACGGACGCGCAAACACGTACGTACACGCATGTTTATGTGCTACATAGTGCTACGTTGGGATAGTCATAGTCGTAGTGCGGTCTCGTCGCAGAGCCGTCTGTGAGCATGTATGCTGCCGTTCGCCCAACCTGGCAAACACTCCGGTGACTTCTCGGCCTTTGTGGGTTTGTGGCCAACATGCCTTGTACAGTTCGGTGTTCAGCTTGCCGCCAAGGAAGCCGCATGGGGTCGCTAGCCTGACCCACGGGCTGCTCGGAACCTGGCGGGATCTTCGGCCCGAAGATCGTGCAACTGCCAGCCACGGCCTCCTCTGCGACAGCGAGCATTTGGCCTTTGCCGAAGACCTTCGCTCTCCGCTCTTGGAGCTCGGCCCGAGAGGCGAATTCTTCGCGCCTCCAGGACCTGAGCCTCCAAGTCGGGACGTTCCCGCGCCACCACGACCGAATGGAGCACTCGCCAGAGCTGCACTTCACAAAGCTCCTGCCAAGTGCTCGGCCCGCGCTTCGCTTCCAGTTACCCCCGAATTCATGACGCTTCCGCCCGGTGCTCCTGGTCTGCCGAAGTCGCAGGCAGTCTCAGTCTCAGCGCCTGGCATAGTTCTACGTGCTGCGCCTGTGAGGCAGTTCAAAGGTTGCTGCGCCTCTCGCGGGTTCGCAGTCACTAGGCTTTCTGGAGTTGTTGCTTTGACTCCGGGGGCTGCCAGGCGAGCTGCCACCTTGGCATCGAAGAAAGGATGCCGCTTCGGCCACCAGCCGCAAACATCCGCATTCCCCGCCTCTCCCAGGACATCCAGTGCTTGCGCAGAAGAGCGGCTCAGTGTGGTCACGCCATGCAGGTCAAGCATGGCGCAGGCTAATGCCTCCACTGTAAATCGGACGGCCATGCAAGAGTGCATAGTACTTCTGCTGGCGATGCTTTGCGACACAAATCGACACAGCAACACAAAGATCAAAGATCGTGCTCCAGTTCTGCATTGCCACGGGACTGCACCCTTGACGGCCTCTCCGACGCTCTCCCACTCGTAAACACCATAGGGCACCTGCCGACGGTCTAGGGCCACACGCGCCTCCACTCTTGACAACCCACTGAAACGAGCACTGCTGTGATTGTGCAGCTGCCTGAATCAATTACGCTGTGGTTTAACGTAACAGCTCGCAAGAGAAGGATGCGGCATACGGATGCATGCGGCATAACGGCATAACCCATGATTGCTCCAGCCTGGCAAACAAACCTTGGCTGCATCACCACTACAGCTCGCCAGAACAAGGCTGTTTGATGCTTGCGTGCATGTGTGCGGCAAGGTCACGGAACATGCATTCCAGGATGAGCCGGCCTCCCATGCAAGCAGCTGAGCTCTTCCACCGGATGGGCCTTAGCACGTTCGTCCCGAAGGCTTACCGCCAGTCAAATCGCAGAAATGGCTGAGGGGTCCCACCTGTCGACCGATGCTGTAGTGGCACTCTAACCTGCGCGGCTCGGAATTGTGCATTGCAATGTTCATGTCTCGTAGCGGCACCTACTATATGGGGATCGCGTGCGCTGACATGACAAAAACGCGCCCCGAGATGCATTGTTTCCCTTGTTTTGGCCAGGTCAGGTCGTCTCGTGATTTTTGGTATGTCGGCGGCGTCTATTTGGCATGTCGGTGGAAGCATCGTTTTTGCCATGTCGGCACATAGTTTTCGCATGTCGGCGAAGCCCTTTTGTTTTGCCGTGTCCGGCGCGTGATGTTTACCGTGTCGGCGGACATCTCGGTACATGTTTTTACATATTTCGGCGCGTTGTTTGACATGTCGGCGCGTGGCGTCCCACTTTAGCACAGGCCAAGCTGTGCGTGTGGATTGCACTTGGTGAGCCCACTGCAGCTGGTCTAGAATCTAGAATCAGTCAAGCAGCGTGTAAGCATGACCTGAGTTCAGCAAGCTTGTGCCTGCAAATCACAAGTCAGATTCTCGACATGCGAAACGAGACCGGCTGAGGATTAATTAGTTCTCTAGTGACTCTAGTTCTCTACCAGTGGCTGTCAAGCGACTCACATTGCACATGGCAGCGACCGATGCCCGACCGCAGTTCTCGTTGCTGTCGTGTCCGTGCTCCTACATCCAAGAAATCAAGTTCAAGAGAGGCCGGGCTCAATGGAACTCTGCGAAAGCCACTTAAGTGATCTTTCGTGCACTGCTGACGACACGGAACTCACGGCCGAGCTTGAAAATGCATCATATTGCCTATAGACCCAAGCCTAGAATCCGAGAGTGAGAAGCGCGCAGGGACCTTGTCAGACGTTGGAGGGAACTCGCAGCCCTCGAAGTCGAAATGGGGACCATTCAGCTCGCAAATGCGTGCAAAAGCAACGTTCCAGACCTGCAAACCGAAGCGAGTGCAAAACATCCCATCAGATCTTGCGAAGCCAGCCTGTGCAGCACCCGACAAGCGATTGCCGTACAGAATGCAGCCGCGTGTATGGGCATGTGCGTGCATGTCCAGGTAGAAGAGAAGTCGACCTCACTGCAGCAGATCCCGTCACTTCAAGCAGCTCACGCTTTCACGCCTTCGCTTGCCCAGTGCTTGAGCCACTCGAGCGCCCAGAAGACACCTTTGCACCGAATGGAACAGTCACGCCAGCATGCAGCATTGTGATGTAGTTCACTGACAATCAGTGAGGGAAGGGTGCAGCAGCCAAGCCTTCATGTTCTCTAGGGTTCGCATCGCCGTAACAACGATTCAGGTCAAGCCCGCCAGCATTTGCCCTGGTGTGGCCCCTGTCAAAGAAACTGAATGTGTCTCGGTCACGAAACCCTCTCCTTATCTCTCCTTCTAAGAGTCACCCGATGCAACTCATGGCTGTGCGGCTTTACTGCTGTACTGTCTTCAGCTTTCGTCCTGCAGAGCCTCGCCACCCCATCTGGGTTAAGCATAGGGACCAGCTTGAAGACGAATTGCCGCCGCAGCAGTTCAGCACGCGGATCATCGGACAGCAGGAATCGCAGAAGTCCAAAGAAAGCGAACTGGCCTCCCAAAGTCGGAAGAAGAAGCCTCCAAAGTATAGACATGGCGAGCCCTGAAGCCCTCTGCCGCTCTCAGGCTCTCGGGCCTGGCGTTTCTCCGGGATGGACCCGGGCAGAGACGAAGACGATGGGCCTTTGAGGGAACAGCTCCGCGGGGCTCTCGCCGTCCACCGCGACAGAGCTGCTCAAGAAACCTCACATCTGCTCACAGCTTTCTGGGCCTGGCGTGGCCTGGTTCAGGACTGAACAGCTCCAAGCAGCTCGCTGGTGAAGTCTCAACGCAAACTTTGGCGTTCGACTCAGAGAGCTCGGAGACGGTGAGCAAGTCAACCCTCCGGCCCTCCCTCGTCAGGCAAAGGCGCTGCCTGTGAAGGTAGATCTTTGAGCCAGAGACAGGGTTCCAGGACTCCTCGGTGCCGTTCAGCATGGGCAAGGCCGGACCAGCTTCAGGCGTAGCTTCGGGTGCCTCTGGAGGGGCCTGCAAAACCTCCGGCTCAGGGCCCTTGAAGCCGTCAGGGAACTCATAGCCTTGGATTCGTGTGCCTATTGCATGGACCTACGGTAACCTGCGATTACGAAGAAAGGCCACTTACAGCTACTTCATGGACGGGAAAGCTACGGACTATTACAGTCTCCCAACGACATGTGAGCAGCCGACCATCAACAGATGGGTTCTTTGATTCAGCCGCTCCGTGTCACCAAAAGGCGTCATAAGGCGATCCGAGTTGGGCATGCGCTTCACAAGCTTTACTTGCGAAAGCTTCCCCAAACCCAGGACCTCAACGATTGACTGCCTTACTTGCAGCATGGTAGAATCCTTCCGCACCCACAGCGTCATCTTCTTGTTGTCCACTGCCCCATGCTCGATGGTGATCTTCACCTTCTTCGGCTTTACCGGAGAGGAGGTTCGGGCAGCCAAAGTGCCGGAACCGCCACCATGAATTTCAATCGATTCCATGTAGGCTGGCAGGTTCTTCCCCTTCGTCTCAGGCTGTGCGAAAAATTGTTCAAGGCGATTCAAATAGCCTTGCAGGTCTGCATATGTATACGGTGGGGAGAAGGCGAAGTATGTCGTCGCCGACCCGGGCTCCAGAACGTAATCCCAGGCAATGTAGCAGCTTTTACCACGCTTCTTTGGTGGCTCGGGCCCGCTGTCCAACATCGCGCGAATCTTCGGCAAGAGTCGTTCATCTTTCAGGCACTGCTCACTCCTTGTATCCACCTGATGGGGAGAGCTTCTCGCATGCTCAGGGCTCCCGAGACACATCGGATCACATCTGCACTAAGGTGCAGGCGGGTTTGGTGTCATCCGCGGGGCCAGGCTCCTGCCAATGGATCAGGCATGCAGAAACACCTCTGCGACGGACTCCGACTATCTGGGCCGCCTCGAACCACAAAAACACACCTCGACCGGCGAGCGGTGCAGGAAATAATGCCCGGTGTCACCCGACGCAGTTCAAGCTGACCATGGTACACAACAGACGAGTCGACAAGTGCAGCGCCAGGGTCAGGTCGGCTTCAATTTGCGAGGGGACATGTCCAACAGCGCTCGACGCATTGTCCTTGTTTCAATACATCCTGGCATCAGCCTTTCTCCCTCTTCACGCAAGTTTAAGTCAACGTGCGAAGACGTGTAACAATACTGGTCATTACACAATGTATGCTGCCTCCACCCATCATGCTCTTGCAAGCGCGACAGGCAGATGCATAAAATGCATGCAGATGATGCATGCGCAGGTCTGCACGCGACAAAAGCGGTGCCTAATGGAGTGAAAGTTCCAAAGTTGTTCTGTTGAAGAGCTTGAACCCAACCGCCTGCAACACCTAATTACCTGGTTACCTGACTGATAAATGAAGCCAACTGGACCAAGTATTCAACTGGACCAGGCACAGGCCTCCTGACAGGAGAAATTGCAGGACTCGTCTGCCAAACGTCGCCAAGCAGGCGAAGCAGGCAGCTTGCAAAGGAAAGGTCGGTGGCCGTCCAAGTTGTAAAGGTCGAGCATGTTGCTCATGTTGTTCACCTGAACTTGTACGGTGGCCAGCGGATCGGACAGTTCTAACGGTGTACTACGTGTCCTTGAAGTGCCATGCTCGATGAATCCGTTGCTCTCCCTTTGCCGGCTAGTCACAACAAATCGCACCTTCTGAGGGGAGTTGATAACCGAGCGCACGCCGAAGTAGAACCAGCGCCGGCGGCCAGTGGATTCGGTACCTTTGCGAGGTTTACATGAATCTACTCCGCCAGGAGAGCTGAGCCATGGTCAGAGTCGGAGCTGTCGAGGCGCCGTCCGATGGGTCGGCACGCAGCACCACATGCACGAGCTCCGGCCCCTCTTCCTCTGGTCGCTCTGCTCGGCCGCCTGTCTGGTAGGACGGCGAGCTCAAGACTTTTGCGCAGAGCACACGCCCCGACTCCTGGACCTAGTCTCATCAACCGCACAACCACTCTTCGAGATTGCTGTGTCGAGGTCCTTAAACTTTGAAGTGCCTTGACGCATGGACTAAGTGCGGTTTGAAGTTAAACTATCATGCTGTCGGTTGAAGGGCGCTGACAGTGCTGCAGGCCAGCTCGACATGTCAGTAGCAGCATTTGTTCTACTTCAAAGGCTGCATGCACTCGTGTCCAAGATCATTAGAGCGTGGTGAACATCGCGCCGTCAGGACGGCGGTTCGAGGCTTGCGCACGCGACACGTGTAAGATGCTTGCTGGCCTGTCACATCCCAGCTTCTCGATTGCTTAGTTCTGCTTTCCGGGCAACGAGCTGCAGTCTGCTTTTCGCTTCTAGGAGGCTAGGCGCGGCAAAACCAGAGAGAGCAATGCAAGACATGAAAGTGGAACTCTGTGACAGTTCGCCCTCCGATGGCCTGATGGGTCGCTGAAGACCTCGCCGTTGGAGCCCTCAAAGTTGCTCAAGAAATCCAGGCTAGGAGTTCGGGTCACCTTCCACCGCAAAACGGCATGACATGTCGTCCAGCCATTCTTCATGTCTCGGGACACCCCTCCTGCCTTGAAGCCACCATCTAGCGGCACGGGGTGACCTAGGTGGCCCTGCCCAGGAGCATCAGCATCCGTGGTCGCCTCACCTTTCCTCACACTCACCTCAAAAAGAGATGAACACTGCTTTGACTCGGGCCAATTTGGGCATCCTAGATTCCTGGGTGTGAATCACAAATCGAAAACGTCTGAGTCGTCGGCCATCCGTCGACCGTACTTCCACTGGCTGGCTAGATCAGGGCGAAGTTGCAGTTCAGACAACGTCTCATCCTGCAGGGAGTTTAGCACCCCCTCTTTCCTGACTCAAACGTGTTGAAGCACACCATGCCTGTGCAGGCGCTGCAGGTGACCTTGCAGCCGGGGCGCGATACCTGAGCTCGGCGGCTTCAGCTACTGGTACCAGACTAGGCAGAAGCTTGGGAAGGGGACCTGACCTGTGCAAGGCTATCGTGGCCAAGAAGAAGTGCAAAACGCAACAGACCACGAAAGATGGCAGCTTAGACTGTCGAGGTCAGGAGTGCTTGGCAAGCCTCTCTTGAAACCAAGGCAAGCCTTGATGCAAAAGATGTCCAGCAAACAATCTTGGCGGTCATACTGCACCAACCGGTCCAGCAGATACTAGGTACATGTCCCGTGGCCGTCTATGTTGGCCCGAGGTGTCTCTTCCATTCAGTCCGCAAGGAAGAGATCGGAGCCAAGACTCTTCCTAAAAAGGCTGCCATTTCTGAGAACAATGCTCAGAACTTCAAGGGTTTGCCTTACGTTCCAGAAACAGGCTGCCCGGCTCGTCCAGTCATCGCCAAAGTACCTCGCTGAAGGTGCAGAGAGTGCTTCAAATTAACCTAGTGTGTTGTCACTATACCTTTAGGATCGGCTTCGGCCTTCAAACACTGACAAGCCTTCAATTCCCTGGTTCGTGTCCCGAATGTGGATGACCCTGTTTCGGATGTGTGCTGAAACTATGCTAAAACTCATCCACCTTGCAAACGCCTCGTTAAACTTGCCCAAACAACTCAGCAAGGATGCCTGGCACGCACAGCTGCAGAAACCTCGCTGCCACAGTGGTGTCATTGCAGTAGGCTTTGTGGCTGAGATCACGTGGTTGCAAAGGCTAGGGATGCTGTGAGGAGCTGCTTCAGAACTGGCTCCTGGAAGCTCAAGCAAGATCGAAGCTGGCTCGAGCCACAATCAGAGCATCACAGCTCACAAGAATCTCACTCTGTCGGCGAATCCTGACAAGGCGACGCTTTGCAGAGGACGTGTTGCAATCCTGTTGATCAGGAGCTGTGCACCTTCCCGGCGCTCCGATCTCCCCCGTCGAGTGAATCTTTACCATCACATCGAACGAGGGAGTCCACTGTACAAGAACGCCCCGTCTTCGCAGGGGGTTTGGGCCCACTGTACAGAACACCCACTCTTCATGCAATTCAAACTGCCGCCAGCACCTGCACGAACTACACGAGCACAGAGCCTAACCTCCTCTGACTCATCTGCATCACGCCGCGGCACATTCCCACAGGACCCTTGCCCTCCATCTGCCAGTGCGTCCAGCTGGCAATGGAATGGAAGTTGAAGTAATACTTTGAAGGATTGGAAGCAATGTCTTTCAACCGGGATCCCAACGTGAAGCCAGCATTCTGCCCGTCAACGAAGTTGCCCGTCATGGACATCACGGCAGCACGGTTCTTGTAGTGAGGACAGGGAGACCTGCTTTAATTTTGGGAAATTTTGGATGATGCCAACATGGATCCGCAGACCTTCTAAACGCCAGTGCCGCCCGGAAACAACTAGGACGTGGCAGCCGCTTGCAGGTTGGTTTAATATGTTTAATTATAAGGGCACCCTTGCTCCTACTACTCAGTTTGTCAGTATGTAGACCACAACATGAAAAGGGCAAAACGGTACTATTGGAGACCTAGTGTCTTGTAGGAGCTGCCATCAGCAATCATTCCAGGACCGTTGTCCCCGCAGAAGTTGATCACTGGAGGGCCTGAACCATTCTCACCATCGCCGTCGGAGGCCAGGTGAATGTGCGATGCAACGAGCTGAGTGCGACCACCGAAGACATTGGCCGTGCACTGCATGCCGCTGCGGCTGCAGAGCTTGCAGTCGACGTAAGCTTTTGCTTCACTATCAGGATTAGCAGGGAAAGACTGCACTAGGGTGTTGAAGCTGAGCTCGCTGAACATCTGATAGCACTCGTCGTCAACCATTTCGGAAGCGGCTAAAGAAACAGGTTGTGTCTGTTCTGGGATGGACCCCTTCGGCACACAATGAGAGTACCAGGAGTTCATCTGAGAACAGCTGAAACCAGAGTCGCAGCACGTCGGGCCTGTCCATCCGGTACCGCCGCATTGGACCCACGCTGTCGCACAAGTCTCGGGTGCCTCAGACGCTTCAGCCGGCAAGGTGACCACCAGCATCGGCAGAAGCAACAGCCGGGCCATGTCGGAGAGTCTGAGAATCGGGATCCTAACGGCAGGAGGGCAGTGCGGCCTTTCACTTCGAGCCAACGACATGCGAGCGCGAACAGACAGCCAATGATTGGCAAGGGCGATCGTTGCCGATACAAACGCAGAAAACAACAACAACAACAACCCTCGTAGTGCCGCAAGGCTCAACAAAAGCAGCCACTCGGTTTGTTCGCCGAAACAGCATGACCGGCCTCAGGCCGAAATTCTCAATTCTCCCTAGGATGCAACGGGCTGCAAACCACCTTTCGGCTTCCTCGCATAGTGCAACCGCATCTCCACACAGCACAATCGTGGCTGGGACTCGCAGATGAGCAGCATCCGTCAAGAGTTCGCAGGCCCCCTGCCATCGTCCTGTCCGTCGACGGCATCTCATAGCCGTGTTCAAGGTGATGGCATCCGGTGCAAGATTGCGTGCGGATGCATGCCTCAGCAGTCCAGAAGCAATCTGCCACTGCGATGCCGGTTCGCAGGCAGCGACTGCAGCATTGCAAGCATAGATGAGGCACGCAGATTCGGCAGATGCGCCGATGCCGGCTGCTTCCAAGAAGTCCATGCTGTTCAGCACGGCAAGTGCGTGCTTCCAAACCGCTGCAGTAGCACAAGCGCTTGCTGTGGCAGCATATGTGAATTCATCATGCCGTAAGTTGCTTCTGCAAACTTCATCTGCTAAACCCAAGGCATGCCTCCACTTCTGAACCTGCTCAACAGCAGATATTGCCGAGTTGAAAAGTATAACGTCTGACTGCATGTCGAGGCTGCCCACTTGAACCAAAGACAAAGCGCTTTGCCATCGAGCTGCTTCGGACGTGCTGATCAGTGAAGCACGGCTGATAGCATCTGGAAGAAGCTGCTTGTCCATCATGTGATCAAGTCGATGCAAGGCTTGCTGCCATATAGCCGCCTTGCCCAAGGACGAGACTGCTGTGTTGTAACTGCACGCATCTGGTTGCACGAGCCATTCACCGAAGCGGTCAAGCAGCTGCAGTGCCCCCTGGTGAACTGAAGCTTTATCACAACTGCCTAGCGCTATGTTAAAGCAAAGAATATCGACAATTGGTGGCACATACATCGCCACCTCGCTGAGCAACGCCACTGCCTGTTGCCACCGTCCGGACTTCTCGCAAACCATGAGGACTGCAGAGCAAACCCGAGCTACCTGTACTTTTCGCGATCGAGCCCGTGCATACATGAGAAGCGCCTGCGGCCATGCGCCTGCTAGCCTGCACGAGCCAATAGCTGATGTATAGGTGGCCACGTCCGGCTGCATGCGCCTAGCCTCTACCTCAAACAAAAGAGCAAAGGCCCTTTGCCAGTCTCCTTTGCCTGCAAGGCTGTGAATGACCGCATTGAACATAATCACATCTGGATCTGGAGAGCTTGGGTCGTCTGCAAGTTTCAATAGAGCCAGAGCTTGCTCGCAGTCTGTCGCCGCGCCGCAAGCCTGAATCGCCGATGTGAGTGTAATGACATCCACTCCGCCGCGTTGCGTCATCCAGTTTTTGAGAAGCTGCAACCCCGCGAGCCACTGCGAGGCTCTCGCAAAGACATCCAGCGCCGAGTTTTGGCAGACGAGGTTGGCTCTCAGCAGCGCTGCTTTGGCGACGGCCAGGAGGTTCCCCGCCCAGCGCCAGCTCTGCGAGCTCTGCGAGCTCTGCGAGCTCTGCGAGCTCTGCGTAGAGCAGAGAGAGCGGAGGGCCGAAGTCAGGGAGTAGGCGTCGTAGGCGTCTTGTCGTGTGCAGCGAGCAAACATCCCGAGAGCGAGCTGCCACCGTCCAACCCTGCAGAGTGCGTTCTGGGCCATGACATCGTCCTGCAGACCCAGATCGGCAATCTGCCTTAAGGACCGCAAGGCTCCGCGCCAGCATGCAGCTCTCTGGCACGCTGTTGCAACGGCGCTACATGCGACAGTGTCCAACTCAATGTTCTCAACTAGTATTTGCTTTGCCAATTGCACTGCATGGCTCCATTCTGCTGCATTGCCACATGAAGTGATGCCGGCCCCATAGTGCTTCAACGGGTGCCGGGCCTGGAAATCAGAGCCCGGTAAAGCCAGCGATATCAAAGCCTGTTGCCAGCCAAGGCCTCCGCCCTTGCCAGACCGGGCTTGGAGGCACCGGTCGCTCTGCATTCGCACATACTTGGCTGGGTCTGAGCATCTCTGGACGAATGGCTCGCAGCCGTCTTTGGACCTAAGCCAGCAAAAGGCTGCTCGCCGCTCTGGGCGAGGCCAGGCTTTTGGAGCGGGTGCAAACTCCAGACTGCAAAGACGGCTGCGAGAAGATGCCATCGAGGACGACACAGCACGACCGATCACCGAAAGGACTGTCTTCCTGTGATGATGTGCTGTCGTAGCAGCTTTTGTCTTGAGGCGTCCTTCGGACTGTCGTGATGGTAATTGTGGGCCTGGCTCCAAGCACAATTCCGCGGCTGTGGCTTGACCACTCTTACGGGATTGCGTTGAGTCAAACTGTTCTGGAGAGTCGGCAACAAGAGCTAAAGGTGCTTGCTGTACTATGCTGCCCTGTCAAGGGGTTCCAACTTTTCCAGAACAAGTTGATGTACAATGAAGAGGTGAAACTCTGCACCGGCAGACCTACGTCCCGTGCCTCCTTGGCACCTGCATTGCTTAAGTTTCTGCGTGACTGTTTCCATCCCAATGCAGAGAGGCACAAGAACACTGCAGCACAGACAACTCCGCATAGCTCTGATTGAGCGCGAAGAGTTGAAGCATTAGACAACAAACAGCTGCAGCCATGTGCAGGCATCAGAAGGCATGTGCGCAAATCTTGCAATGCCCCAAGCTCCGTGGGTAGATTCGACACGGGGAAGAACAAAAGCACTCGGAAGACTAACCTCTCACTTTGTAGGTCGCCGCAGACTTTGGACGATTCAACCTGCAAACGCGCGGGGGGGGGGGGATATTGTGAAAGCACGAAACAGGTTTGACTTCATGTGGCTGAGCAAGCCTACTTTAGCCTCAGGCGTCGAGTATCTGTATCTCTGAACAGAGGGTGTCGACATCAGCATGCATCTTCGAGCAAATTCTTGAAATTCTGAAAAAAACACCTCATGATCCAGGAGGCTACGGCTGCCTGGCTGCAGAGGGCGCGTCGGCTTCCGGCACCACGAGGCTGCATGCCGAGTCCGTAGAAAGCCGCGGCAAGCCCCTGCAAAACTACAAGTCGGCTTGACACTCTGGGGGAAGAAGCCGTCGCCTTCCCTTCTCAAAGCCGTCATCTGCTGGCCTTCTGGGGCCTCTCAAGTCATGGAGCAATGCCCTGCTTCGGTGTGGTTCGGTTGCATGCTTGCAACATCTGGCAGCAGAATGTGTGGTCTCGCTTCATTGCGCATCACGTTCATGCCGGTGCCTGCTCCGGCTGACATGGAGCGCTGGCTGGCAAGGCTGGCGGTGGCTGGACGTGTCTCCACGGAGCTGGCAGACTGGGAAGTAACCTCAGAGAAACCGTGCCTGTACTGGCAGCACCCGCAGCATGCAAGCACTCGGAACAACGGTGCGAGGACTCATCCGTACGGAAGCTCATGCTGGTAGCATGGGTGAAGAAGAAACATAGCCCCTGTTTTCGAAGGCTGGCATCCGGCATGTTTGGAAAACCAGAATAGCGATCACGTAAATTGCGCGATTGTGCTGAGGTCAGAGCCTTTCGGCACGACCTCAGCAGTTCGTACTTTCCCTGCGATTCATGCTGCTCAATGTACCCCTCACAACACGCGGTAGAACTTGGGTTAAGTGTGACAGCGAGGACTGGGCGCATCGATGGTCTGCATTTTGAACTTGTTCTGAATGTGTATCTTCAATGCCTGAACGCTTTGGCAGCAATGCAAATAGTCATGGGCCTTCGGAACATGCAATGAATAAAGTGAGCCTGCCGTGTCTGCCGAAGGTGGTCCAGCGCCGTCCTTGTATGCCGCTCTCCGTCTCTGTACCATAGTAACTGTCATGAAAATCTACCCGGAGGTCCTCGTGGCATCGATCTTAGCCACCTGAAGACAGACACTCTCTGGCTGGCTCGCCGCGCCTCGCTTCGCCGCTGCCCTTGCCTTGGCCAGGTTCTCCTTGCCAGCACAGCGCTTCGCGCTCCGAGCCAAGGATCTTTCTGCCACCGCTATCGTGAAGTCCACCTCTGGCACTCAAAGCGGCAAAGCAGGTGCTCGCGTGGTCGAATGTGTCAGCCTCGGAAGCCTGTTCCCGCAGCTGTTTTGATGCTTTCTCGGTGTCCATCAGCCTTGGAATCATGCGTTCAGTCCGGGATGTTGGAGTGAGCGTGGAGACCCTTCGATGCTCCGGGCCTTCGCTCGAGCAGCAGCTCGGACCGCTGTTTGGCTCTCCGGCAGCGGTCATCCGTGCCCTGCACAGCCAAGCCACCTCAGGGTCGATCAGGCCAACCACATGTGAACCTTCGCCGACGACGGCCGCCTGTTGTAAAGCCGCTGTCATATGTTCAGCTCGCGCCTAGTGCCTAAGAGTCTAAGCAGCTAGGCTGCATTTCTACTGACTTGAAGATCTTCTCTCCAAGCTCCGGGCAGCGGGTCGCGAGCTCCGCTGCGGCAGCGAGCAACATCTCCGCACGCTGCCCCAACTCTGCATTCCGAGGCTCGGGGATGTCGACATCTGGGCATGTTCGTGTTGCTTGCAGCTAGGCTGGCCCAGATGTTTCAAGCATGTTATGAAGCATCAAACAGTCGCGTAAGCAAAAGCCTCCTGCCCTCCCCGCCTGACGACCAGTGCTGTGGCCCCTCACGAGCATCCCCTACCAATGCACGAGTGGCCAAATTCCTTGCATCGCTTGCATCTGACTTTTCCAGCTGTCCAAATCCCCACATCCACTCCGTCCACGCATGTCAGACCCGCTTGTGGAAAATCCGAGGAACGACTCGTCGCAGAAGTGACGATGTCGGGAGTGGCGGCCAAATCGACCAAGGACACGAAGAGAATAGAAAGGAAACACAAGGACGAAGAGAGCGAGAGGACATCCTTAGGAAGGAGGCCCTATCCGCCCTATCCCTCAAGCAAGGACCGCACTGGGATCCGCGAGAGAAGCTTCTGGCAAGCTGGTATACGGCTTAGGGTTTAGGGTTTAGGGGGTATACCCCATGCAGAAGACTGAGACTTTTGCGCTGCAAGTCTTTGCGCAGAGGTTCAGGTTGGCACCTCTATCGAGCGCTCGAGTTCAAAGCCTGCTCCGCTTCAGGATGGCAGCAGGTCATGCGGAAACGCGTTTCCCCTCGTGCATGGTCGGCGTAATGCAGACCACGCAAAAGCCAAAAACCAGAAATCCCTCTGCGACCCTAAGGTCGGGAAAGCCCGGCAGGTGCTCTCCTTAGGAGGCCTAGATGCCAAGCAAAAAGAAACTCGAGCTATACCATACCATACTATACCATACCATACTATACCATAGGACTATCATATCAGATGCTATGGCATAGATAGCTCAAAGCAGCGAGAACAGCAGGCCCAAAAAGGTGAGGACGAGGCCGCCATGCCTCCCCCAGGAGCCCAGTACCCCTAAATTCAGGAATACACCCTAGATCATAAAATTATCAAAGAACCTCCCATAAATCAAACTAGTCAGGCCCCTGTAATCAAAGGCCACTATACCTGAGCTACGAAGCCACAGTCAGGGTTCTTGTGCGAATTTGGGTAGAGTATAGTGTTAGTATGTTGTTATAAAAAAGATATATACTTTCGGACAAACAGGGACATTATCCCAAACTTCTGTACACAATGCTGTACCCTCAAAGTTCCTTCTCATAAAACCATACTAGGACCGACGAGGGGCCAGGGCCGGTGGTGGGCGGCGCTCACATTCTCAGGCTCGCCGGGGGTGGTGGTGGTGGTGTCGGGAAGGCCGAAGTCCGAGTGGATGACGTAGTAATCGGACCCCCAGGGCTCGTACTCCGCTAGCCGCGAGCTGAGACCCACGTGCCAGGAGGGCGTCATCAAGTTGCTGACGGGCACTTCCTCTCATGATCTATTTCGGGTTTAGGGTGCAGGGTTTAGGGTTTAGCTCCAGATGCTTGTGGGGGAAGACACAGAGCGTTCAAAGAGCACACATAGGCGGCCCAACATCGGAAGCCGTCCTCGAGGATAGCCTGGTG